GGTTGATTAATGGGGTAATAAGTTAATCGGGGTTGGGTTTGGGTTAATCGACATAACCCAGGTTAAAATAATGTGGGTCATGAGTTAATTCGGACGAATGGGGACATTACACGTGGAAATTCTGGGGTTTAAAAAAATTTAAAAAAAGAATTTTGTGCCGTTAGTTTATTAATGGCATAGGTGAGCCATATGTGTAATGGCACTGGCATGGAATGAATATTTTTTTTAACGGATGGCATGGATAGGCCTTATCTGAAAGTTGAGTAGCATTTTTAGGCCTTTTCCGCAAAAACAAGAAATGTAACTTTTATCACTTAATTATACTCCCTCCGGTCCAAAATAAGTAATTTTTTGGCCTATTTTTTGTAAGTGATTTTTCCAGATTTCAAGAATGAATTAATTATTTTTTTCCTACATTGCCCTTGGAGTAAATAATGTTGGACTATGTGTTAAGAGTGTTTATGTGAAGAGATTGTAAAGGTTAATATGGTCAATTTCATTGCTTATTAATGTTAAAACGTGAATTTCTTAATATGTGTGAAAACAACCAAAAAATCACTTATTTTGGACCGGAGGGAGTAATTAAGTAATGTATATATTTAATTACTCCATCCGGTCCACAATAAGTGACCAATTTGCTTTTTTATTTTGGTCCAAAATAAGTGTCCATTTATGTAATCAAGAAAAAATTCAATTTATTTTTACAAAATTATCCTTATGTACATATCCCTAAAAAGTTTTCTACTCCTCACATTAAATATTTCATTAAGGGTAGTTTAGTCATACTAGGCATTTTTATATAGGATTTAGTTATTTTCTTAATGGACGTGCCAAAAGCAAATTGGTCACTTATTGTGGACCGGAGGGAATATTAACATACTAGTTCTTGAAGCCTGTGCTAAGCCCAGGCAAAGCAAAACTTTCATTTCACTCATTTAATATTTTAACTTTCATTTTGATGAATATTTTAAATCACATACAAAGCCAGAATTTGAAGTTTATGAATTCTGAATCCTAGTTTTTAAAGTTATTTAGTTCTAAATTAATAATATAGATATTTAGTGAACTTTTAAGACAATACATAATTTGAACCAAAACGTTACCGAATCCGACCAAACTTATTTTGTGTTTAGAAAATTAATTAAAGTTAACCAAATGAGATATTTTAAAGATAACCCGATCATGACAGATAGCACTGACTTTTTAAACACATATGAGCTCATTAAAGTTTATATAGAAAGTAAAAGAAATACCTAAATATAAGTAGAAGAATTTTCAGAAATTCTCAAATTTTACAATACAAATAAAAAGTAAAAGAAATGCCTACATGTACAAAACTATAATAAGAAACAAGTGACAAAAGAGAATGAGAGATCAACAAGAAACAAGAATCTAGCAAAAAAATGACTATTTTCAGATTAATAGATAAGATCATTAGAAGAAAGTAACAAGGAAAATAAAGTGTAGTGAATAAGGCTACTCTTTCCTTACCAAGATTTTCGACTTCGAGCCTGGTATGAAAAAAATCTTGGCAGGGAGAGCTTCCGCCAAATGAGTCTCTCCAAATGAGTCTTACGCGAAACGAATCTGAATTAATCGGGCTCCAATACGGATACCGGACACCGGATAAAAAATCAAAAAACATAAAAAATAAGGTAGGACAACTTTTAAGAAGTAAACAATAATATAAAAGTAAACTTGACTTTAAAAAAATTAGGTCAAGACCTAGAGGTAATTAATTGAATTGTTTACATTTTATTGAAAATTTTTGTGAGGACTACAAAAATCCTTGGTTGTCCCTTATTATATATACTAGATGAGGAAAGGCCCGTATACGGGTCCAACATTGTAATCTTAAAATTGTTGTATGTCGGTGCTCAATTAATTTTTTGAAATAAATCGATCATTGTTATATCCATTTAATAACTGATAGAGAATGATATTGGGGATCTCAATTTACAATTAATTTATTTTAATAATTTACAAAAATTAAACTATAAATTATAACCTGCTTAAGTTGCTCCAATTATTAACATAAAAAGACTATGTGCTATTATACTCATTTTAACATCAATGTCAAATATAAACATCAAATTGTAAAGTTGATTGAATGGTATTAATTTCCCACTATATTTGAATTTTTAACAAGATAATACATTAAAGGTACAAGTGTAATTTATATTAACAATTTTTCTATAATAAAAAACTTACCGATCTATTTGTAAACTAATTTTGAATACATGCAATTTGGTCTTGCAAGTGTTTCAATAGTGGGAACAATCATCTACCTGATGAAAGTTAAAATGAACAACATCATTCTTTACAATACGAGAAAAGTTAAACAAAACTTATGATTTTACTTTATGTCTTGTATACAACAAAATCAAAAGAAATTTTTAGTACCGTCAACAAAGAGAACTTCCAAGGGGACTTGCATCCCTAAAGAGGCAATTTACTACTTCAAACAAAGAGAACCAACTACACTAAACAAATATTAACATGATATAAATTGTAGTTCAAATTATATTTTATTATAACCGGTTAAAATGATGTTCTTGGTAATAAGATAATAAATATCTGATAGAAGTCTATATAAATTATAGGGGTTTTAATTTTTTCTTAATTAAGGATATAAGAGAAATGTTTTTATTTTTTCTAGATTTATCATATGTTAATTTTTATAATGAAATAATATAAAATATTTTAAGACAATTTATAGATTGTTGAAAACTTATCATGGAAGAATGGAGTTCAAACCATATAAATTAAATTTTCACATCAAGTAAGTACATAAGAGATAACCTCTTAGAACAGATGAACAAATATCATCACTTAAATTAACTTTTAAGGTTTAACAAACTACTATAGTTTTTAAAATTACTTTTGAATATAAAACTTTTAGGTTTGAAATCGCCTTCAAATAGTGTGAATACATGAAAACCTTTTAATTTTATTTTTTAAATTGTGTTAAAATAGTATAGGTAAATATGAAAATCTTGTATTAAAAATTAAATTTACTTTTTCCGTGAAAACTTTTAGTTGACTAAAACAAAAATTAATAATTTTATCCAATGAGAAAAAATATTCAAAATGAGTATTTGCATGGAGTAACTCTATGCAAAAGTAGTCTAATCAACGGTACATTTAAACTTTTAAAGGAGTGATGTGGTCAAGGGAATGTGGGGTCCACATATATCAAGAGGACACAATTTGTATTTAAGAAATACAAACAATACTATAATTTTTTTCAAAATGATATATATGCACTTGGTTGACCATCTTTCCTTTTCTATAAAATATAAAATAAAAATAATAGTAATTTGGTTTGATAACGTGACATGATTAGAATATCCAACCCAAAATCTTACAGTGACGAATGGTATAGTGTAGGATCATTACATACTCAATGTGAGAACAGTTATTCTTAGTGCGTAGATGAATTATAAATATGGTATTTAAACAGGTAAAATTTATTTTATGAGAGTTACTAAACTTTGCGATCAATTTGTAATATGTGCAAATTATTAGGGGTATTATTTTTCGCTCATTATCAGGTAATTATTTCCTTACCCAAGCCAGTTCCTATTCATATGTTCTCGTTGCTTACTCAGGGGTGTCAATGGATATTTAATAACCGGCTAAACCGATCGAACCGTACCGTACCGAACCGATTTTTAGGTTTCTTTTAATAAAACCGTAGGTTTTATATATATATATATATATATANACATGCCCAAAAGCTCATATATATATATATATATATATATATATATATATATATATATATATATAACCATATCGATAATTAGGGTAAGTTTTTATTTTATAAAAATAAACCAAAAAAATACCAAACCGTACCGAATAAATTACAATGTGAAAAATATATTTATATATTATGTTTAAAAATAATAAAGCATTAAAAAAATTTCGGGACCTTGGAATTATGAAATAGTTACAAGCCAACAAGATTAAACTTAAAATCCTAATTCCCAAATCTATTATGCTACTCCTATTAAAACTAAATTATTTCCAGCATATTCACTAGCAAAACACAAGGTATTGTAGCGATTATGAGTAGAAAACTACAATGTATTGAATATGTTTCCTTTCGAATGATTTATATTTATCTTTTTGAATATTTAATCTTCTATAGACTTTATTCTTGAGCCCCACCTTGGTTAATATTCCACTCATGTGATTTATATATTTTTTTTCTTAGTTTCTTTTACGCTGATGTAAAATAGTTGATGGGTCTATACTCTAGCCATCTTTTATATTTTCTTAATTTATCACCTTTTAAACTGTAAAAAATATCTAGAGAGTTTTGCTAACTCCTATAAAAGTACGTATGTTATCGCATTTTACTTTTAGTAGTGATTTTTACCTGACATTTAAATAAAATTACCGAATATTTACCGAACCGTACCGATACCGAAGAGAAACCGACATGATTGGGACGGTTTCGAAAAGTCTAATTTTGGTTATACATAATAGAATAACCGAAAAATTGGTATGGTACAAATTTTATAAAATAACCGGCCGAACCGAACCATTGACACCCCTACTCAGACTATTGGGAGTATAATTTACAGATGCGCTATCGTCAATCCAATAATCTTGTTCCTTTAATATAGGAATAAACACCTCTTGTTTAATGATGAAGAAAATAAACTATGTTTTTGTAAAGCTCCATTCTAAAGAATAAGTTCAAAAGGCATGGCCGTATGGGGCGCCATTTTAATCATGCTATCAATTATTCGACAAAATCACTAGTTACAATTATCATGCAAAACAATGTAATACACGTTAGGACTCAAATATAGTCTAATATGCTGTCCAACATGTGTTTCTATTATTAACTTAATGATCAATTATTCAATCAATTGCAATTGAATCTCAAAATATTTGGAATTACTTACTAGATTCGGTTGCTGTATCTATAATCTATGTGCTTTATGCAAGTATAATACCAGATGATTCCGCATTCTTACATTTATATGTTGTCAGTTTATTGTAATTTTCTTCTTTTATGGTGGTGTTTTTTTTTTTAACTTTTTTCTTTATCCCATGTCCCGAACAGTGACGGAAACAGAATTTACACTATAGGGGTTCAAAAACGAAAAAGTAAAAAAATATGGCCAATGGAAATTGAACCACCAACCTAACAAAGGTTGTGAATCTCCTCGACCACTAAGCTATGCAACAAACTGAATTTTGCCTTATGTGTACAGTATAGTTTTCCGGCAAAGCCCCTGTCCCCGAAGAGACGGATTATCGAGCAATTTAAATAAATTCCCCAACTCTAAGTTGTTCGATTAATGACTTTCCATTACCTGCCCCAAGCTCACTCACGGGATTTGACCATTTGGTTCCAGTTTTTCATGTGTTTTCAAGTGAACCTTTTTCTCTACCTCAAAGACCTAGGAGAGCAGGTCTATCAGCATCATAACTTTTGCCAAAATTCCATACAGTTTTCACAAGGAAAGAATACTACTACAGTAAATGGAACAAGTTCAGAGCAATTGACGCAAACACAGAAACCCCCTGTAGTTATTCTTTATTTTTTTTCATGTTTGTGAGGTCATCTTCTTCTATAATAAACAAATATTTGTTCACTTTTTTTAATATTAATTTGTAACAAGAAAACAAGTTTGAATAGTTTATTGAGTAGACACATATGTTCATGGATCCCAAGGGTTCAAAGCAGCCGCAGGAGGAGATATCAAACTTCTTGAGCCACCCCCATCCCAAAAATATCAATACCAATATCAGCAGCAACATGGGGGAGAACAATCCTGCAGAAATCAAAGATTTCCAGATTGAAATTCCAGACAAAGACGAAAGCAAGAAGCAACAGTTGGCTCCTAAAAGAAGTTCTAATAAAGATAGGCACACAAAAGTTGAAGGCAGAGGAAGGAGAATACGCATGCCTGCTCTCTGTGCTGCTAGGATTTTTCAACTCACACGTGAATTGGGTCATAAATCTGATGGAGAAACAATCCAGTGGCTGTTGCAGCAAGCGGAGCCCTCCATTATTGCTGCAACTGGCTATGGAACAATTCCAGCCTCGGCTTTAGCCGTGACTGGACCCTCTGTTTCGCAACAGGGGATCTCTGTTTCTGCTGGTTTGCAGCAAAAAATGTGTGAATTAAGTGGCAGTATTAGTAGTAGTAGTTTTTGTAGGACCAATTGGCCTATGGTTAATGGGAATTTTGGGAGACCCCATTTGGCCACAACAGGAATATGGCCCCCATCAACAACCAATTTGGCCCCTGAGAGTTCAAATTATTTACAAAAAATTACTAGCCTCCCTGGGTTTGACTTACCAGCCACCAATTTGAATCCTATGAGTTTTACTTCTATGTTGGGTGCTGCTAATCCCCAGCAATTACCTGGGTTAAAGCTTGGATTATCACAAGATGGTCATATTGGGAATTTGAATTCTCAATCTTTGAGCCAGATTTACCAGCAGATGGACCATTCAAGAATGCACCATTCACAGCAGCAGCAGCAACAACAAAATCAGCATCAATCGCTTTCTCCCGAGGATGATTCTCAAGGATCAGGATAATAGAGCTTTTCACATAACATATTCCAATTTGGGGGTACATATATAAAGTGATACTGGCGTTTTCTGAGCTAGAGGCTTTTTTGGTGAATGGTTTTATTATTAGGAAATGTCTTCTTAAAAAGTGCAGAAAATTTTTGTATCATTCATTTTGCCCTTTAGATCCAAATGTCAAGTGAAACGCTTGTATCTTGTTTGTTGAAATAAACATAGAAATTATATATACACAAGCAATTTTTTGTCTTCAATAACTGATTTAATCTTTGAAGGGGAACCTTGACGTAACCGGTAAAGTTGCTGCCATGTGACCTGGAGGTTACGGGTTCAAGTCGTGGAAACAGCCTCTTGTAGGAATGCAGGGTAAGACTGCGTACAATAGACCCTTTTAGTCCGGCCCTTCCCCGGACCCCACGCATAGTGGGAGATTGGTGCACCGAGCTACTTTTTTTTAGTAACTGATTGAATCTTGTTTATCTGTCAGCGCAAGAATGCAATTTCTGGCTCTCAATTTTGACTTAATAACTACAGAGCTAAGCAGAGCCAAATACTCAGCTCCAAAAAATAATTCTTTCAGTTGGATGCTTAGGGGGAGGTACAATAATGCTTTCCTAATTTTTGTTTGACTTAATTCTTTTATTGGCTTTGCATAAATTAGAAGTGTTTTTTCACAAATGTAATTTATATTTCCTGTCCTTAATAGTGAAATTGCTAGATCTACATCCTTATCAGACTCCTAGACATTCTTTATTCAGCTGCTTCTAATAGAAAAAGTCTGAAGCAAATATACTAGTAATATATTCTATGGATGGTGCATTTATAGATTTATAACACATTGAAGAATCAAAGAAAAGATTGGCCATTTCATCATTTGTTCAGTTATGACTCCTGATTCTGTCGTCTGATGCCTTATTATGTGATTATTGGCAGGGGGATTTTGGTTACAGTTGCTCTCAAGGATGAGACATGCTGATCATTATTGAGGCTTCATATGGTAACGGGCAAAATTCAGAAAGATGTAAAAAAATCTGGTGTTCTTATGGATGATGCCTTTCATAAGTGTGGCAATTTTCCTTTCATCTGAAGACTAATTAAAAGTGACCTTAGCACCTTTAAAATGGTCGAATTTTGCAAGTATAGCCAAGGGTCTCGCTGTATATACATGGTATAGATAAACTCTGTACATTTTTCAGTCCGTAAAGGGAAAAAAAAGAACCAAAATGTAATGTTGCATATGCAAGAAACCATCTTCAACATCACAATCAACTAGCATGAATGATTTAAAGATCAGGTAAATGGTATTTGCAAGATATTCAAATCTGTAAAATCATGAAAGGAAGAGGTTGCTTTCCTATAACTTTGGCAGCTGTCATTGAATGGATTGTTCTATAAATTAAACAAATTATGGGCAAAGTTTTGCTTTCTTATATTCAATCATCTTCTACTTGAACCTAATATATGAATTCTTGGGGTGAATTCAAAAATAGCCAGATTTACAAGTGGTAATTGAAAAATAGCCACAGTTTTAAAAATAATGGAAATTTAGCCACTTTTTATATAAAGATAAATCTGAACGAAAACACTGTTCAAGATCTGGAAAATATTCCAACATAATATAATAGAGTTCGAATTTTTTACATGTGGAGTTCTAGTATAATATACTGGAGTTCCAGCATAATATACTGGAGTTCCAATATAATATGCTGGAAATTCATTCACAGGTGCTTTTATCTCCAGTATATTATGCTGGAACTTTCTGTGTGCTGGAGTTCCAGCATATTCATACACAGGCGCACCAATCTCCAGTATATTATGCTGGAACTTTCTATGTTGCAACAAAATAGTGGCTATTTTCAATGACTTTGCAAACGCTGACTATTTTTCAGCTACCAATCCGAAAACTGGATAGCCTGTGCTATTTTCACGAATTCTTGATATATGAGTTTCAACATGAGTCATTCCCTTTTTCTTTTGTTTCTGTCTTTTGGATAGCGGTAAGAGTTTTTCAGATGGTATTGTGTGGCCACACACTATCACAGTGTTTGCTCGTTATGAGGAATATACAAGTAGAGCATTTCATTCTATTCTCTTCTGTTACTTGCTAAGTCTACAGACCATAAGGCAAAAGCTAAAAGAAAAGGAGAAGAACAAACGTGGTAGCTCGTAGAGAAAAATACAAGATGCCCAATCCCATATAGCAACTTGGGGAGGGCATATTTAAATTGTTCTTTCTGTGTGCGTATGTGTAAATGCTCAATTGTGGTCCCTGCTCTATCCTCATCCTTACTTGCTTCACACTTATGCCTTTAGGATTATGCAAAAAGTTGAATAATCCAAAGTCCAAACTTGTGGTCCAAAATGGATAAAAAGAAATAGTTATTCACCTATATTATACATTAAAAATGGGTTGAATAATGAACTTTTTAAAAACAGGTCAAATATGGATAAGAACCATATTATGCACTCAGAAAATGGATAACCAATTTGTAAAGCCTCAAATTGGGGGTTCCTCAAGTTTGGGAGACTAGGAATTATCCCAAAAGTGATCATACTCAAAAAATCATAGATAATTTTTACCGTATCAAACATGGGTAGGGTAGAATAATTTATTTGTTTCTTCATTACATGTTTTCGACCCTTCCATATCCGCCCTGACCCGCAAGTTTGCCACCACTAGTCCAAATCAATGGGGCATATGATGAGCCATTGCCACTCACCTCTTTATCGCGTCTTTCTTGAACAATTTTGTCTACCAAGGCTTAGACGGATAGAAAGAAAATCGCCTAATGTTTTAGTATTTTGTTGGAATTTGAACTTCAAATCTCATGATTCTCAACCCATTTTAATAACCACCAGACCACATTGGCACATCCTTAGGTGCATTTGATAGAGATGACAACTGCACCTTTTAAAGATATTTACGGCGCTACGTGGACGACTTGTTATAGCTATGTTCCTTTCCATATCTTCAAAAGAATCACGACACATCCAAACTTCAATTATCAAAAATAAACTTTGCCTACTTGATATAATTCTGTAAGATTTGATTCCAGTACTCCCAGACCTAACTTGCTCTTTAAATGCCTTAAGTAGCAAATGATTATAATGGCCATTGTTGTTTGTATCGCTATTGACAGTCTAAACTAGATACCATTAGTTGTTTAAATTAGGTAATTGATTCTTTTCGCCTATCATCGAACAATTCAATTATGATCATTTAACAAAAAAATTAGATACCAATAAAACAACGCTAGGAGAAAGTTCGGGAATTATTAATTGTTGATGCATACCACGGACCAATAATTAATCTTGGCGCATGCATAATGTTCAAATCTTTTTGGAATAGAGGTGTTTGAGAAAAAAAGTATGAGATCTTTTTTGTTAAACTAATTAAATAAGAAGATGGAGGGTAAATCCTAGTTAAGGATAATTAATTTTAGATCCGAAATGAATAATATGAATAGAAAAAACATAGCTGAGTATAAATGCTGGCAGTGATTATGGCCAGATTTAATAGCATAAAGAGAGATGCATTAAGTAACATTAAATGGCAATAAAATGTAAATAAAGGAAAAGAGTCACCCAATCTTGACTGAGGCGGATCCTCTTTCATTTGATAAAGATGAATGATAGATAAATATAAGAACCTTAGGACCCTTTTTGGATCTTGTCACGACCCCGGTTCGCCCTCCGTGAACCATCGTGACGGCACCTAGTCTCTACGACTAGGTAAGCCTAAATTGCGGAAGAAAAACCAATTTTCTGCGGAAATAAAACAATTTAAAGCAGAAATAAAGTAATAACCAGCGTTTAAAAGCGTCGCTCGGCATACACAGTATTTAACTCTCAAAACCAATACATACATCCAAGACCCGGAAACCCACAAATCACAAGCTAAGGATACTACATAGCTCTAACTCCAGAATGTCTAACAACGAACAGAAATACAGAAGGGCTAATACAAAAAAAAAAAAGCAAGGATAGAAATGGACTCCTCGGTTTGCGGACGCGACAGATATACTTCGAAGTCTCTACAGAAGCGTCTCGCCTCAAGGATGCTAAGATTGAGTGAAAGTACCTGGATCTGCACATGAAAAACATGCGCAGAAAGGGCATGAGTATACCACAGCGGTACTCAGTAAGTGCCAAGCCTAACCTCGGTTGGGTAGTGACGAGGAAGGTCAGGGCTCTACTGAGATTAAATAAGATATAAGGGCTAACAATGTGGAATAAAATAGTATAAATAAGTGCAACAGTAAGAAATAACATAGAACTGGAAGAAACAACAACTAGAACAGAGACAAATCACGGGAAAGAAATACAGCTCAACACAGAGATAACAACCGGGGCATCTTCCAGGATATCGTCTTGTAGTTCCAATTACAACTATCCAGTGGATCTCCCGGGATACCGTCTCGTAGTCCATCATATATATATATATATATCCGGAGGATCTCCGGGGATCCCGTCCCGTAGTCCAACAATCGGTGCGCGGGGATCTACCGAATCCCGATTCGTAGTCCCAAATATAAATACCCAGTACTGGAGGAATCTACCGGGTGCATTCTCGTAGTTCCATATAACTGTGCAGGAGGATCTACCGGGATCCCACGTCCGTAGTCCCAAATAAACAAACAAGGGGGATCTACCGGAATCCCACATCCGTAGTCCCAATGTAAACACACAGCAGCAACACGAAGAATAGTCATAAATTGTCAACTTCATATCAAGGCGAAACATGTATATCTAACCTAGCATGTTGCACGTAATTCAAATAAGGCAATCTTTAGCAAATAGGCAATTAAGTCATTTAGACATGCTTTCCTAAGCTAACAACAAGCTCAAATTTCAAGTAGTAATGACAGAAAGAAAAGGAAACACAATTTTAATTACTTAATGAAAATGGATTTTCAGCAATTAGCACAAGTACGCGCTCGTCACCTCATGTACGAGGCATTTCAAATATCACAATACCAAATCCTAAGAGGAAGTCCCCCACACAAGGTTAGGCAAGCCACTTACCTCGAACCGGCTAAATTGTCAACCCGAAACCACGTCCTTGACACGAGTATTCGACTCCAAATGGCCCAAATCTATTCAATCAAATTTCATAATGTAAATAACACTTCAAGTAACTGATTCTACAATTAAATTCTAAGCTAATACGCGAAATTAGGTAAAATGACCAAAATGCCCCTCGGTCCCACGTCTCGGAATCGGGTGAAATTTATATTTCCAGAATCCTCACACTCTCACGAGTTCATTCATACCAAAATTACCAAAATTGGACCTCAAATGGTCCATCAAATCCTCAATCAAAGGTCTCCAATACTAAGCCCTAGTTTCCCAAATTTTC